TCACCAAAAAAAAGGGCACTTCGGCAAAAAGGGCATGTGCTCTGCACAGGTTAAGCCCTACCTGTGCACGTGCCTGCTACCGCGCTAAACGCCTCAATCGCGCCGCAGGACATCTAGACGCGCGTAAACGCGTCTTTACATTGACTTAACATTGAAATCACTCGCGCCAGACGCTCAAGAGTGAGTGAGTAATCAAAAAACCTTTGCTTTAGCCTCAATTGAGTGTAACACTGTATGTGTAACTTCGACCATTCTCAGTGGTGTGACTGGGACACTAATAGTGTGTTCACACCGAACGAGACTTTAATTATTTGCGCGACATACAAAGTCAATGCAAAGACGCGAATAGACGCATCATTCGCGCCGGGCGTTGCGAATTGGGCGACGCGTTTACCGCGAATGTCTACCGCGAAAAAATTGAACTGAGCGAATGTTCAGCGTCTAACTAAGGTCGATGCGTATTTGACGCTCTATTCGCGTTCGGTGTGAACACACCTTAACTCTGCTTGTCATCATAGATGCAGATAATCAGATTGTGATGTTTATTCCGTTTCAGTAATATGCTGAATTATGCTGCCGTCGTTTTAAACACACAACTCCATTGCCCAGCGGACCTGCAATCGTCTCGCAAGTGTTGAAAGGATATTACTCGTGAGGTGTAACCAATCAGATACAGATAGCGCCGTGGACGGGACATTGAGTTTAATGGTGATAGGCTATATGCATGCATAAGTTCCGCATTTGACGCAAGGCTGCTCTTCAGTTTCCGGTTGGGGAGATTAAAGCGGAGGAAAACCGAGGAAAACGGGATTATGGCAGAGTCTTCAAAATATATATAGTTATGTTTATTTAATATAATAAACAAAGAAGCATAATCAAAATGAGGGGTGTCTGTTTTGTCTGTTTTTGTGACTAACGTTTCTTTAGTATAGCCATAGAGTATAAAAGCCAATATAAATTCTTGGTATAGCATTGGACTCTACGATCGGCGGAAGTAATCCAGCATCCGTAGACCTTCACCGGAAATACCCCCAACCCCCACAAAACCCCCCACCCCCACCCAAGTAAGATCCCAGTAATTTCAGTGATATTTGACATTAAGGGGAACATTTTTTTCAGCATTTTATTGCTACCATAGTACTACCATAGACTTCGTATACCCACCACCTCAGTTTTAAACTAATGGCTCTTTGTAATGACATTAAGTGGGACCTATGCTGTTACAGTATGTTTAATTGCAGTTTTTTTTCCACATGTGTAGTTTGTTGTTCATATTAAGCTGCAGCTCATTTCACATTAACTTTTTCAAATGAAATAAAATTAATATAATTTCTGATCATATTATTGCATTTGTGTTTGAGTAATTAGTTTTTGACTTGAAACAGTTATTACAGCATATTAAACTTAAATTTAGCTTATCGTTACAATTTTGTTGTTTTTTGGGGGCGTGTTAGAGTGGGATTTTGTTAGGTGGTCCTCAGAAGAAAATTGAAAGATAAAGTGGTCCTTGGGCTGAAAAAGTTTGAGAAACACTGGTCTAGACTGTGTGCTCATGAGTGAGCTCCACACTGCAACTGACTTGGCTCTCCGGAGCACAAGCATTGCAGCCTGCGCAATCGGTCTAGAAATTTCCACCCTCGTGGTTCAGAAACGTCATAGTTGGCTCAGCCTGGTTGATATGGCGGATGCGGACGAGGTTCGGTTCCTGCACTCCCCAGTTTCCCAGGCTGGGTTGTTCGGCGATGCAGCGGTGCCGTCAGTGCTGCATTGCGCTCTCAGACTCCGCTCTGGACCGCCCCCTGTTCGGAGGCGTTCGTTTCACTTCGGTGTCGAGCAAAAGAGCCCCTGTCGTGCGTGCGGAAATTGCAATCCTACTGGCGAAGGATGCAATAGAGACGGTTCCACTAGCCGAAATGAAGTGCGGCTTCTACAGCCCCTACTTCATTGTACCAAAGAAAGGGGATGGGTTGAGACCAATCTTGGATCTGCGTGTCTTGAATCGGACCCTTTACAAGATTTCATTCAAGATGCTAACGCAGAAATGCATTTTAAAAAGCATTCATCCTGGAGATTGGTTCGCAGTGATCGACCTGAAGGACGTTTAATTTCATGCCTCCATCCTGCCGCGACACAGGCCATTCCTGCGTTACATGTTCAAATGGTAACAATTATCCAGAAGATGCTGTATTGCATACCACAGTAAAATTAAATTACCGTAGTTTTAAGCATACTGTAAAATAAAGTACAGCCTTTTACTGTTGTTTTTATTATCTTAAATTTACTGTTATATTCAATGACCAGTGTTGTGCAAGTTACTTCCAAACTGTAATACATTATATATTACTTGTTACTGTTATTTAAAAGTAATTCATTACCTTACAATATTACTGTCTCAGAATTGTAATGCGTTACATTACTCCTGTATTACTTTTGAGTTACTTTCACCAAAATAACTATACAGAAGTAGAACTTAACATTCTAAATGACTAGGGCTGTAACGATATGCGATATGAAACCGAAATCGCGACACTCAGATCCACGAACCTGCAGAATCGCGACACACCCTTACCCCTTCCAACTCCCAGCATTATCCATACCGTCCAGATCCAATGCTACCACATCTTTAAATTACTATTAGTATTATTTGAAGTTAACTTAACATTATGAAATACGTAGACCTACACCACAAAACTAGTTGAGGATAAATTATTTAAAATTTGGGAATTCCAGCGTTATGGACATGACATTTGCAGTCAAAACTTGAAATATAAATTCTCAGAAAATGCATTAATACCAAAATATTGAAACGTCTGTTTATCCATAGGCTCCTCCCTGAAAGGAGTCCAGACATTAGAAAAATATCAGTCTACACATGCGTTTTATATTTAGCCTAATATTAGGGAAATAGACCGTCATGCGTGACAAAAAAAACTTTAACTTTTAGGAGGCAACTATTTTTTGTTGTTGTAATTCTGTGAATTACACTGCGCAAATCGGATGAAGAAGGGTTGGCTCTCCAGAGAACATGAAATATTCATTTTATTTTATTTTCGTGTTCACATTTATGAGGAAAAAACAATGTTACAGACGTGACAGTTCTCCATTACGGACGCGACCGCTGAAGCGGCACTAAAAGACTGCTTTAAAACTTTCACAGAGACCTTACACAGAAGACACAAAAGCCTTTCTTTAAAGTGAATTTCGTTTTGTATTAATTGTATCTTAATTTTAATCAATGTTTCATCAACCAATTACTTGGATTTAATAAATAAGAAGTAGGCTAAATATAGATAGGCCTAATCACGACACGGAGGTGAACTGGAGCGCGTCTCATAAATGAACCGAAAATCAGCGTATAAGGTAGCCTATTCACGGACCTGAAAAATATATCTATATTGAAATGTCTACTTGTAAACGGAACAATTCAAAACAAAAGAAAACAGACTCTGCTTATGAAATGAAATGTGCATTTCTCTCTGGTGCATTCTGCGAAGATCGCGAGTCAGCATCGTCAACTTCATCTTGACTTTATTAATAAACAATTAAAATGTCTCCTTGCTATATTTGACATATTCATAATCATTGCTTTTGCCGGTTCTTTGTGACAGCTTTTAGGTGCTTATCGGCAGCGCCGCCACCCTTACATGAACGCGTCACCACCGCATCAAAAACATGATTGCGTGATAAAAACATGAAAAATACCACATAAACATAGCCTTACTGTTTAGAAAGGAAACACAGAACGAATAGCCTAATGCGCATACAGTAGGTACTCAACCAGAATGCCTATTACCGCCGCGACTCGGCGGTAATAGGCAAAAATTAATTTTTTATTTTACCCTGTATTATTTTATTTAATAATACAGGGTAAAAGTATTATTCTGGTTGAGTACCCACTGTACGTCCATCTCGCGAATGTATAGTCTTCTTCATGCCATCTTCACCATTAGCCGCTTTTCCACTGGCCAGCGCGAGCACAGAGGCCGAAATCATAGCCTACTTCACGGCACTCTTGTAAAAAATAAATCGCTATACAAATATATCAGACGCTGCCATTTAGTCTTTATTTACAGACTTGGACACCACACGCGGCTATTGACTGACCACGAACAGGTAATTTAGCCTACTTGCATTTTTCATTCGTTAATGTCTCGCGGTCTTGCTGTTTTTTTGGGGTTTTTTTTTACAATTAAAACTAAAAGTCTGTTGTAACGCAAGCCTTACTGAACATGTACCGAGTAAAATATTACTGAAAATTTATTAGTAATGCCTTACACTACTGCGTTACAGCAAAAAGTAATATGTTACTGTAATGCATTACTTTTGTAACGCGTTACTCCCAACACTGTCAATGACAAGTTATTGCTTCACATCAACAGCTTTATTCAGGTTTAATTTTTTCACATTTCATGCATGAACTTCAAAAGAATATACCGATTTACCAATATTGACCATATTTCATCAATTAACAAAACACAACTAGCCATACACGTAACACATTGTGCAAGTGGAAAATAAATGTAGTTTATAAAAAAAGTATACCTACCAATTTAACATACTCCTAGGACTTTTATCTTCACGGCACTGTGGGAAGAAAAGGCCAGAAAATTAACACTGGCTCAGATATTCTTATGGAAACGTAAGAACTAGAATGTAACTTTTATATCTTGTAAATAACTTCAGAATAAAACATATAAAGTGATTGAAAAATAAAAAATATTAAAGTTAACCTAACATACTCATGTTAACTTTCATGAGTCTGACACAGAGCCATTGGTGGTGTGTGGTTGTTTTTCATGGTCATTAAGTACTGTATTTAGATTTACAGTAGGCTAATATTTTCCCAGAATGCACTGAAACAACCTTAGTAACAGTACAATACAGTACAGTAACAACAGTATACAGTATGTTGCAGTAAGAAAATTAAGAATACAGTAATATTACTGTAAAAAAACAACCGAAATCATTTTGCATTTTGCCTCTGCAGCTCTTTGCTCGAGCGTTATTAGGTGTGTGAATCAGTGGATCTGGGGCAGGAATAATAACTTCCTCTACAACATGAAAGGTGAGAACAGACCCGTTTGTTAACTGGTAATTCAACATGAATAACAAATGGGCTAATTTCACACTGTGATCTCTCACTCCAATACTGTCAGATAAAGCAGTGCCCGACGCTCTTCTGAAAAGTGAGACGAGAGACTATATAGACGCTGGACTGTTGCTGAACTCACCCTACTTCTCAGTGCTGAGAGAAGAGAGGGACATCGACCTCATAATTTCACTGGATTTCAGTGACGGTGATCCTTTCATGGTATTATATAATTCTCTCTCTATATAATAATGCTCACATACTCTCATAAAAGCTCATTAAAAGGAATGGATCCACTAGAAATAAAAAATCTGTCATTTACTCAGCCTCATGTAGCTCCAAACCTGTATTAATGTCTTTCTTCTGCTGAACTCAAAAGAAGATATTTTGAAGAACATCATTACAAGTTGTCAAACAGTACAACATCATCAAACAGTTGATGGACCCCATACTATGGACGTGAATGGGGTCCAACAACTGTCATATTCTTCAAAATATCTTCCTTTGTGTTCAGCAGAAAAAAGAAATCCAGGTTTGGAAAAACTTGAGGGTGAGTAATAGTATATGATGACAACCGTCCGTTTTGTGTTCTATGCACAACTCAAGACTTTTCAGGTTTATGTACGTTGCCAACTTTGATATTACTTTGGTCACTGTCTCTAGAACACGGGCTTGACTCTTGTTGCACATTCATACAAAAAGTATTTGAGGCGCTACTGTAAGTTGTTGTGTGAACAGGACATTTCGAGACACACCTGTAAGCAAATGCGCTTGTCAATCAATCCCAAAGGCTACATTCACACTGTCTGTTTTTTGGGATTGACAACCAGTTCACACAACTTTAATTTGAAGTGAAATCTTCCTCTAACCCTTTTAATGAAGTTATACTGCAAAATTCTCCCACCGCAGACAGTGACAGAAGCTGCTGAGATGTGCATGAAACTAAAGATCCCTTTCCCTGAGGTCAACATTCCTGATGGGCACTCAGAGAACCCGAAGGACTTCTACGTGTTCAAAGGCCAAAACACTCCCACCGTGATACACATCCCTCTCTTTAATGTGGTCAACTGTGGAGGCAAGTTATGATCTTACAATGTCCTGAATAAAACTGAAATATCAACTGTGTTCTGATTTAAGTGTGTTAATGTTTCTTCAGATAAAATTGAGGAATGGAGGAACAAATATAAGACCTTTCAAGGTCCTTACAGCGCTGAGATGATCACTGATCTTATGAAGGTCGCTGGAAAAAACATCACAAACAACAAAGAGAAACTGGTGGAAGAGATTGATGTGGTCGCTATAGAAAAGTATTCCCATAGTTTAATAGCCATGGTTACTAATTTATACCTTTAAGTGTTGATCAGTTAGGTAACATCAACTAATTATCGATATGCCTCTCAAAGGTGCAGTATTTAAAGAATGTCAGCTAGTAGGTAAGTTGATGAGTTGATTTATCAGCGTTTAAATGTGCTCTCGTTCATTGAGAAAGTGAAGATTGAGTTATCAAAATGAATCAGGCGCTGCTTGCTTATAGTTTGTGTATCCTCAGTCCAAGTTCCAGTTATTTTTGAGTGATGAATGCTACTGCCACCTGCTGGTGTTGACAGTTATTCCTCACGCAGGAGCAGATGTGCTTGCTTGTTGCTGTAGTCTTGTGGTAAACCTTCATCCGTGCAAATTGTCTTTTAATAATCTTTGCTCAAAATCTTTCCCCTGCAATAGACAACTGATGTGAGCTAGAGATGAGAGATGAAGATTTTCTCTTCAGTTGTCCTCTTTATTTGGAAATACGTCACAATACTGAAGTAATGTCGGTGGCAACTTCCTGTCATGATTCTGCCATCTTGTCTTTGATTTCACTGGTCTTGTGGCAGGATCATGGCAGACCCATGTTTCATGTGCAGCACATGGCCATTTGTTTGTGCCATGTGCTTGCGTTGTCTCGTCTCTTTACCCCGCCCCCTTGTTTTCCTGATTTAGTCATTATTGCTTTATCTGTGTCACCTGTCATGTCATGATTAGTCTCCCTATTTTATCCCCTTGTGTTTCACTGTCTCTTGTCGGTTCATTGCCATATGTTACTTGTGAGTACCCTGTGAAAGTCTTGTCATTGAAAGTCATTTTGAAAGTCTAGTCTTTGTTAGTTTCTCTTGATGTGTTGTTTGTTTTCTCGAATTTTGTCAGTGTCGTTGTCTAGTTAGTCACCATAGTTCTGTCTTGTTTTGCCCCCTCGTGGGCTTTGTTTTCCCTGTTTTCTGTCTGTTAAATAAACGTTGTTGATTGCATACTGTCTGCACTTGGGTTCATCCGCCACCCTCATAACACTTCCGGTTCATGCAGACTTAAGCAACACATGCCATCAATAAAAGCTGGATGGTTTAATGCAACAAGCGTGATGCTGATATTTAGGCATGAATATGTAGATTTGCATGAATTCCAAATCACTAGACAAGTTATATTTGTTGACGTGTACTACGAACACTGTCGCCTGTCAATGACGTCATATCCTTGTTATACTTGATTGTCGTTTTACTCCTGTAGAAACTGTAAGAACTGATTTTCCTGCTAAGACAAAACTCACCCTGCAATAAAGCCATAAAATGCACCCTGGACAGCAGATAGCAAAGGCAGGCCCAAACTTATCTCCTTGTCTCCTTGTTTGACTTCAACTCATCCCCCCTCCCTCCTCAAGTCACTGAAAGTTCACTAAGAATGTCTATATATCACATATGATCTATCTTGTGAATCTATTCTTTTTCCTTGACATGTTTGGTATCATTTTAAGTGTCTCAGTGCGATTGGTAAAATGGTCTTAATTTCATTGCAGTCATTGGTTTAATGAGAAAGATTGAGAACTTAGGAGAATCCTCTTCTCCTCTCTGGGTGATGTCTCTTCAAGATATCTCCCGAAACCAGGTGTGAGCCCCTGGGGTACATGGATTGACCCAAAACAACTCTAAAGAATATTTGTATAACCCTTTTGTTCTGGTCTGGGTATTTAAGGGTAGAGAGAGCAATCTTTGGGACCCTTTACCAGGATCATCCCCCATACAGTGCTCTTCAGTGTTTTCCTGTTGGAAAGCCCTGACACATCACTGTGTGTCTCTGTCAGGAATGTATTGCTTACTTATAGGCCCCGTTCACACTGCAGGCAAAAGTGGCCCAAATCTGATTTTTTTGGGGTCAAGTGACCAGGTCAGATTTCTTCAGAGGTAATGTGAACACTCAAATCTAGCCCAGATCTGATTTTTTCAAATCAGATTTAGACCACATACAAATGTGGTCCTGAATCAGACCCAGATCTGGTTTTTTTCAATGCGGCCGCAGTGTGAACAATCAAGGCGGATTTGATGCGACTTTTACGTCAATCTACGTCGACATTTGTCACAATTATGCGCCGGCGAAGCCCTAGACACAACATACACAGACAGTAGCCTAACATTAAAACTTGACTAGATATGGAGAACAGCGATGAAGCGAGTCAATGAGAGTGAGGTGTTAGATCTAAGTAGTATACGGGGAGATAGTTCAATTCAAGCTAGAAGGATCTACCGTAACCGCTCCGTTTTTGAAAAAATTGCTCACGAAATGGAAGAACGGGGACACAGGAGAACAGCGTCTCAGTGAAACTATTCACGTCATATTCCCACCACTCCTGGCTTCATCTACGCATCCACACAGATCTCTGTAGTGAATTTGCAACTATAAACCCGCAAAAGTTTCCATTACACAAACATTATGAAATAAATGCGAATATGCTTACTTCCTCCATAACCTCCCGAACTTTAGTGCAACCGTGTGGTGCGTCTGATGTCATTGTTATTGTTCTTTTGCGCATGCCGGTTAGTTTGAAACCTCAAACAGTTCACATTGCAATCAGATATAGGTCACATTTTAAAAGGTAATGTGAACAGCCAATCAAAAAATCGGATCTGAGCAAAAAATCAGAATTGAGCATTAGGACTTGCGGTGTGAACGGGGCCTTAGAGTCCTCTTTGTGTAAATGATGTCATGTATTTATTATTTCTGAATTGGCTTTTAATCATTTACTTGTGTAATTGGCATGATACATTTTACCTGACAAATAAATGTTACATTTTGATTTATTCTGCATTTTTCAGAAATCATTATCTCCTAGTAGATTAAAGTGTACTCTGGTGTTTCCGCAAATCTTTGTCCAGGATAGATCAAACCCGAAGGCACTATGAATGGAGCATGGGGCACATCATCATAGGGAGACCTTCTGATTTCTGACTACTGAGTTAGCACGTTGCAAGCTCGCAACTATTAAAGAAATTACACCTGTGAGTCAGCAGTGAGCAGGCGCTTATGGTAAAATAGTTGCACTGCACCCTCTGACTATTTCAGGACTGGCTAGTTTGTGATCGTGAGCGCACATTCATGACGTGACGTGACATCTCAAAGTGACACCGGGTCCTTGAACGATATATAATGAATGAATATTTGAAATTATGAGATACTCAGAGTAATCAAAGATCTAAATGAATTCATAATCAATATTTATGATTATTTTCTAATCAGAAACATGATCTAAATTTGATTATCATTTGAAATTGGAGTCAGATTAAGCATAGAGCTGAAGTAGCCTAATATTGAAACTAAATTCCAATAAATTAAGTAAACTTCACTGGAGCGCTGAAAAGACATACACTCATTATCCCTTCGCCTACTGTTGGATTCCGTCGTTGGGACAAATGGGTGGTTTTTACAGTATTTACAGTTTTTTTTATTCGCTTTGGTACTATTTTCAGAAGTAAGGTGTACATTGTCAATACTCTTAGTGCTAATATCACAACAGATCATCAAAAGTGCACTTTTTTCAAACATTTCATCATGTTTTCAATTGTGTTAGTACAATTCACAAAATCACAAAGTATCCTTTTCACAACACAAAATAAGTGTTTCATCTACATAACTGTTTCATTCACAGTAACTGCCTTTCATAAAGCTCTTATTATCAAACTTTTGATTTGCATCTCTTTTTGTTCAGTTTAATACATTTGTCTATTATTTAATACAACTGATCTTAATGGTTAATCAATGAATCATTTGGTACACCTATAGATTTTCATTTCAGCAATATACAGTATATGGATTTTGAGAATTACAGAAATAAAATGTTTGTTTGTACAAACATATAAATTACGTGTAACCACACATAATGAATACTCGTTATTGCTAATTGATTTCACACCGTGGTAACCACAATTGGTCACTATATAAAAGTGGGGGTGTAAACACTGGCAATTTCTTTCAACATGGAGCAGGATAGACCGCAAGGAATTGGAAGAGCTCGTGGACAAGGAATCCGTCAGAGAGGTGAGAGAGGTGGGCAAAGAGGTGAGAGAGGTGGGCAAAGAGGTGAGAGAGGTGAGAGAGGTGGGCAAAGAGGTCAGAGAGGTGGGTAGAGAGGTCAGAGAGGTGAGAGAGGTGGGCAAAGAGGTCAGAGAGGTGGGCAGAGAGGTGAGAGAGGTGGGCAAAGAGGTCAGAGAGGTGGGCAAAGAGGTCAGAGAGGTGAGAGAGGTGGGCAGAGAGGTCAGAGAGGTGAGAGAGGTGGGCAAAGAGGTCAGAGAGGTGGGTAGAGAGGTCAGAGAGGTGAGAGAGGTGGGCAAAGAGGTCAGAGAGGTGGGCAGAGAGGTGAGAGAGGTGGGCAAAGAGGTCAGAGAGGTGGGCAAAGAGGTCAGAGAGGTGGGCAAAGAGGTGAGAGAGGTGGGCAGAGAGGTGAGAGAGGTGGGCAGAGAGGTGAGAGAGGTGGGCAAAGAGGTCAGAGAGGTGGGCAGAGAGGTGAGAGAGGTGGGCAGAGAGGTGAGAGAGGTGGGCAGAGAAGTGAGAGAGGTGGGCAGAGAGGTGGGCAAAGAGGTCAGAGAGGTGGGCAAAGAGGTGAGAGAGGTGGGCAGAGAGGTGGGCAGAGAGGTCAGAGAGGTGGGCAAAGAGGTCAGAGAGGTGGGCAAAGAGGTGAGAGAGGTGGGCAGAGAGGTGGGCAGAGAGGTGAGAGAGGTGGGCAGAGAGGTGAGAGAGGTGGGCAGAGAGGTGAGAGAGGTGGGCAGAGAGGTG